GAAGAAGATGATGATGATGAAGAAGAAGAAGAAGAAGAAGAAGATGATGATGATGAAGAAGAAGAAGAAGAAGAAGAAGATGATGATGATGAAGAAGAAGATGATGATGAAGATGATGAAGATGATGATGATGCAACCGTCAGGAACTACAACCTGAGTTCAGAATTTAAAGGGATTGTCTAGTGCAGAGGTTCCCAAAATGGGGAGCGTGCCCCTCCTATGGGGCCACTGTTTTTGTTTTGTTTTTTTGTTTGTTTTTTGGAAATGTTCTAATTAACCAAAAGGAGGCCCAACAGAACAAAAAGTAAACCACCGGTTTAGTGCATTTGAAGGAGCTTCCAACACTGGACTATTGCACCCCCTACAGACACAATCAGCACCAACGTTTTTTTCCTTCACTGTTTTATATTAACGTAAAACAGTCTCTAACTTTGGGTAAACTAGTGATTTTTCAACACAGGAATAAAATATCTCAAAGATTAAAATGATAAAAAAAATAAAACATAACACACTCCAGTTCAGTGATGGGGATTCTCTTTTTCTACTGGAAGGCAAAATCATGTAAAAACCACACGCGTTTTTTTTTTTGTTTGTTTTTTTTAAGCTAAATAAAGGAGACCGGGACATTCACTTTCCACTGTGTGTGAGAGAGAGAGTGCAATTATCACGGGACACTCATCGGTGGAAGCTGCTGTTTACTATGACTCAGCTGCAAGCCTCCTCTCATTCATCCCAGAAGAATCCAGGGACTTTTGCCATGTGCACGTGTTTCTGCTTTGGCTCGGGATAAAGTAGATTGTTCCTTAAAAATGAAACTAAAAAAAGAAGAAGGAGACCAAGAAGAAGAACAGGCGTTTGTGTGTGACTCACTGCCTGGTGTGGTTTTTTGTTACATGTGTTACATCGCCTCGAGATTCTCCTTTGTATCCTGACATTTAGGCCACGGCTACCTGCTGTGTATTTCAACCCCTTACCTTAATGACAGCAATATGGCTACAGAGATATTTTAAAATTATAGCCATTATTCCCGTTACTAAAGCAACAAACGCACAGCAAAGAGTGCACGTCAAAAAGCATCAATAATAACACAATATTATTGAAATGTTGGAGTTCAATTACCCCACAGATTATCCGTACGTACGAGTCCTTCTCTATCATCGTCCAGTCTTTACACTGAGAATCATCCAATCAAATCACTCAAAAAAAAAAAAAAAACAACCAACCAACGTACATCACGCCAGGTGTCACCAACTCAAAATCTGATTGGTTACAGAAACAATCTCATCGCCATTTATTTTAGGCGCCCTACACCCACACAAGTGATTATAAAGGCCATAGGGCAGATTTTTTTTTTCACCCTAGCAACAGATGAGGCTAAAATATGATTGGATTAAAAAAAATAAAAAAAACTCGAATATATGTAAATGTATGCAGTGCAACCGATAAAAAAAAAAAAACTGAGAAAGATGAATGATGAGAACAGACTGCTGTGTATAATATAAATATTCGTGATGAATATATTGAAAGATGAGTTAATGTTTGCGATAATGTTTAAGATTAGAAAATTTATATATATATATATATATATATATATATATATATATATATATATAATAACATACTCTGAAGGAAATTTGTTTGAAAAGTATGAACTAATGTATTTTAAGCAGATTACGTTTCTTGGTATTTTGATTTGATTTCATACATGTAAATGAAATATATGTGTATATATATATTTATATATATAAACATGTACGTATGTGTGTATATATACTTATACATGCACATATATATTTAATATATATATATTGTCATTGCCGTGTATTTTGACGTTAAAATACGTTAAAATATTTATATATATATGGAATATAGTATAAAAATATATTTATACATTTTAAGGCAAATGACCCTTTTAAATCGCCGACTGACATACCCCCAAACACATTAGTCAAACTTCCGCTTATTTATAAGTGTTTTTCGGCAGCTTCCGACAACATACATTTGTTTTTGGCTCCATGATTGCATCCTGAGTCATTCCTTTGGTTAAACAAAAATTAAACCAAAAAAAAATGAACGGAACAAATGTTAAAACCTGAGTCACACAAAGTGAGTCAGAAACATGTTCCGTTGATTTTTTTTTTTTGATTTTTTTTTTAGTACAAGCAGCAGCAGTTCTGTTTCAATACCAACAGTGACCCCTGCTGGAGAGAACATATTAACAATTGTCTGCATTGTCATTTATACTATTGTTCAATCCAATTTATGTAACGTATTATTTGTATAATCAATGCATTCATGTGTAAATACCGAGTAATTATGATAATTGTGATATTTATATAAAGTTTTTAGATTTTAAATTGCACATAAATTATTATTTAACATCGTTTCAACCGGATCTGGTCAACCTTCTCTAACGATAATGAGAGCAGGGAAAAAGGCTTTTTTTTTTTTTTTTTTTTGGACCACTTAAGGGTATAGTGAAGGCACTTTTGTTTGAATTTTTTTTTCTTTAGGAAGTCCGTACGGAGAATATTTGTGACAAAATTGAATAAACACAGGATGCATTTTTTTTGACTCTTCACAAGTGATTATTTGCGTGTACAAAATCTAGGAAAAACAAATCAACTGCTAGTTATTACTGCCCCACTGGTCAGCTTGTTTCACTGAGGTAAATCTTGAGTGATTTCGCACCGAAACGGCAGAGAAGCTTTAGTTTCCTCACTGTTGTTGTTGCTGCTGCTGCTGTCTCTCCGTCCCATCAAGACATTTCGCCCCCACCTGGAGAGTCAGAAGAAATGCAGCACGGGAATAAGTAAGTAACGAGTAACTAGGACTCATTATGTCAATGCTTGTAGTATTTTACAGTAACTGTGTTAACAGTGCGCTAAGAGTATTTTTAAGATTTGAAATTTGAAATTGCCTCTTGTAAATTTTTTTTTTTTTAAATGGCAGAAACAAGTCGCAAAAAAACAAAACAACCTTTTATTGCAGTTAATCGATTGCAGGTTGCACTGCTAGGCTCATTGGACAGACTTTTTACTTAACTTCTCAGCGGCAGCTTAAATAACAGCATAGTTGAGTGCAAATTGTGCAACAAAATCGTTACTTATGACACCAGCAATTCAAGCCTGTGGTACCACCTCAATGCCATGGGGTTACTGTGAAAGAAAAAGAAAAAAAAAAGATTTAGTATGAAGTGAAAAATAACTCGTCAAACATTGGTCTTTGACTTAAAGATATAAGCATTTCATTACTCCAATTAACAAAATCCTTTTTTAAAAAATCACTATTTTGTGACTGCATTGATAGACCGTTCAGCTTTACTAGACACACTGACCACCGGAGGCAGTATACCAAGAACTGGTTTCCCTCTCAATGTGTAGTTATTGATTTGATTTGAGTTACTTCCCTTCCAAAAAAATAATTTCTTTTATTTAACAAGTGGGATTCCAGTGCATTGGTAAATAAACAAACAAAAAAATGTCTACATTTTTATTGAAAAAAAAAAAAAAAAACTACCAAGGAGCAGTTTAAAAAAAACAGTAGTTCACAAAGCTCCTTCAAATTTCATTCTAACCTATCCTTAAAAAAAAAGAATTATCAACAAATAGTTTTAAGCAATAAATATGACTTATAAATAGTGTAAATTTACATAAAAAAAACAAAAAGAAAAATAAAAAAAAAAATCACTATTTAGTCTCTTTAGTCTGTGCATCAGTTTTCATTTGTGACCAGGGTCAAAAGACTGTTTTTAACATGAAATTAAAATGGGAATATTTAAAAAAAAAAAAAGTCACATTTATGCTTGAAGATGTTTTTATTCCTGATCTAACAGCAGAACTTGTCTTCTAAAACAAGCAAAAAAAAAAAAAAAAAAATTTCAGTAGTTTGTGTTTGTAAACAAGTACAAAATCTATCTGTACAAAAACAAAAGTTTTCAACTTTATGAGATTTTTTTTCTGTCTGTTTTTTCTGAGGAGGCAGCAGACAAAAACAAAACAAAAAAAAAAAAAAAGGTCTGATCTATATAATCTATTGAGATGTCCTTCCACTCCAGGCCACCTGGGGGAGAGACTCTGCTCCGGGCAGGTTGCATAGACAAACAGCTTTAACACAGCTGCCTTATTATAGAGCTGCAGAGGGTCACGCCGGAAGTTCAGAGAGATGAGTATTGCCTGTTTTGGTCAGGAAGATGAAAATGGACTCGCCTGCAAAGTTTAAAAAAAATAAATAAATAATTGCGTGATGTTTGTCTGGTAAATCAATGTACTCTGACTTATAAATGAGTTTAGTCACTTACGAGTGTGAACTGGTCGTAGACCTGCATCAGCTCCTCGATTCTATACTGTTCTAAAACCACAAAGTTGTCCAGGTCAGGGCTCCCCCTGCGGGCACAGTCCTGGCACTGCACAACATATGTTTTCTTGCTGTTGCTCTCGCTGGTGACCAAGAGCAGGTCAAAAACCTCAACCTGCAAGGAAGCGTAAAAAAAAAAAACAAATCAGGGCACAAACTTGGTCAGATGTAGTCATTTTCCCTCACTGTACTGTACTAAATTGTGCATTTAGCCATCTTTGGTAATATATTGTTTTTTTTTAAACCCTTTCAAACCACCTGACATTTAGAAAAACTTGCTAAATATTTGGCCTCCATTTTTTTTCTATGTGCTTTTAAGCCAAACAGAAACAAGTCTCTCAACGGATCCTGTCAACACATTAGAAAATATATATCAGTAAAAACAAGGATACAACATATAAAAAAAAAACAACATTAAAAATAAAGATAAACACAATCAAACATTCGGCAAAGTTGAAACAGCCAGCAGACCAGAAAGTGAGCAGAGCTTTGTCTCCTGTTTCTCAGTAAACACCTCTGATGAATATTACATTTTTTTTTCATTTTTTCAAAAGCAGCAAGTGTCAGTTCAAAAGAGTTGCAAATCATCTCAGCATCAGTTGCCAACCTCACAGATGCTGCAGTAATGAGCCGGCTCATTCTGCGTCCTGCCGTGCCAAACCAACTCCTTCCCAGCGGCCAATAGCAGCTCACGCTGAATTTGACACTGTTTTAGAGTCCGCAACAGACAGTACCTGAGGGAAAAAAGGACGGAGAAAAACAGAAGGAGAGAGGAAGAAAAATGATCACCGTTTCACTCTGAGGTCAAATTTCGTTATTTTTTTTCCTTTTTAGTGGGTGCAGCTTATATTCAGGTGCGCTCAATAGTCCGGATATTACGGTACAGAGGAAATGGAAGAGAAATAATAATTAAAAAAAAAAAAAAAAAAAAAAAGTATAATCCTTACTTGATCATTTCAAAGAGCTTCTGGTCAGACACTTTGATGTTTCTGGCCATGTTCCAGGAGAGGTGGATCATGGGAACAATGGACTTGACACCCTGCAGTTTATTCCACTCGTAACGTTCCACTGCCAGTTTGTACTGATGAGCTGATGGGGGGGTTTAAAAAAAAAAAAAAAACTGAGAAAATAACACAGGCAATTTTGGTTTATATGTTGTTTCTGGTTATTTAAAAAAAAAAAAAAAAAAGCCCCTTTTTTTAGGACCCCGGGCCGGTGGGGGGGCCGACATTCCAGGTGTTGTTGCACCAGCCAATAGCCTGGACCCAGTGGACAGTCCCTGTGTTGAGCCACACCAGATCTCCAGGACGCTGGATGAAGCGGTAAACGGGAACCTTGCACTCATACAGATCCTCCAAGTTGGGCCACCAGGAGCCCATTAGGAAGTTGATGTTGTTTCTGAAGGTGGAAGCATTTAATCAATTCATCCGATCTTACAATATCAATGTATTTGAGAAGAAATGTCGAGGTGATTTTGTGGCGACCCACTTTTCACAGAAATCGTTGATGACACCCCAGTACGGTTCAGGAACGGCAAACCACTCACAATCTCCCGGCCCAATGTTGATGTTCACTGAGCAGAAGTTGTTGTTCTCCTGGTGACCTTTCGATAAAGGTGTAATATGAGAGGAAAGTTAGGAAAAGAAAGAAATAATGGTTTAAAAGATGACATTCTTTGTCCGAGACAGTGTGGACAAATAATGAGCAAAATTGTTGACAGTCATCACTAGTTCCTATGGTGGTGTTTTTTTGGTTTTTTTTTTTTAACTTTCGTCTTTGTACCTGGTGTCCTGCTGCCTGGGACTTTCATGTAAAGCTGAACTGTGTTCATTCCCAGGATGGTGTGACCAACGTGACTCAGCAGGTTTCCGGCAGACACCACCCGAGCAAACGCTGGCAGCTTGGACAATTCCAGCAGCTGCTGCTTCCACCTGACGGGCAGCAGAGAGAAGGTTTGTTGAGACATTGAATCGATCGATCGATTCCTCGTGAGAATTGGTCCGCCGTGGGTTTTTGCTTACTTCTTCTCATCCGAGAGGTCAATGTTGGTGCCGAACTTGATGTGTTTGAGAGGACCTCTCCTTCTCCTCATCATACTGTAACAGAGTGTGACATCATCAGCTAACAAAAAAAAAATTAAATTTAAAATTTTAAAAATGTCAACATCAATATCAACACTATCTATCAGAGGTGGGACCAAGTCGTTGCTTTGCAAGTCACAAGTAAGTCTCAAGTCTTTGCACTCAAGTCCGATTCTCAAGTCTCAAGTCAAGACAGGCCAAGTCCGAGTCGAGTC